TGTCTCGGGCCTGCCAGCGCGATGGTGCTGCCCTTGCAGAAATGTCAAGAAGAGTGGAAAGACCTGGAGGAGGAATTCCAGCAGTTGCAGGTCAGAGCCGCGATGATGATGATGATGGCGATTTGTTTGTTTGTTTGTTTTTTTGCAAAGACCTTAAGAGTTGGGTTGGGGGGTTAAGGAAATCTTGATGCTGCGTTTACCTGGGAGGGGGAGGAAAGAGCGGGGGCTCCAGTTGGGGTGGGGGGGTCCCCTCGCATGCTTTCTCGCCCGGGCTTGCAACCCGGAGATCTGCCCCAGGAAAACGCTGCCCGTGCATCCGGATCCATAGCATGCTTTTTTTTTGAGGGGGGGCTCTTGCAGGCAGGGAAAAGGACTGGACGCCCCCTTCTCTCTCCCCCCCCCACAAGCTCCCTTAAAGGTCGCCCCACCGGCCCTGCCTTCTTTACGCAGGGGAGCGCCCTAAGATCCGCGGCCGGGGAGAGCAGCTGTTTGGCAGGCGCGGACCCTTTCGCTCCCGGCCCCGAGACACGGGTTTGTAGGGAGGTGTTTCCTTCCCCCCGTCCCTCCCCCGGGGGAGTTTTGATTGTGTGAAACCGCTGGTGCGGGTGGGGAGGGGATCGGACGCGCGCCTGGGGGACGTAACCTTTCTAGCGGCGCAGCTTTGCGCGCGATCCTAGGGTGGGTGCCAAGGCGTCTCCCCCGCCCTCTGCACCGTTGGGCGCTTGTGAAAATAATCAAGGATTATATATAAATAAGCGGCCTGGCCTCAGCCTTGCCCTCCTGGCGTTGCTACTTTATTGATTATTTTTTGGGGCTCCAGCGACTAGGAGAAGCCTGGGGTGCCATTTTCCTCTTCATCTTTTCTCTCGCGGGAGGGGCTTATTTATCTCGATTTATTGCAGGGGTGATGCATTGAAAAAGGCATCTCCGGGTGAGAGGGGCTCTGCCCCTAGGAGGCTGCACTGGGGAAGGCTGAGTACAGACAGAAAAGCCTAAGCAATGGGGGCGCAGGGCTATTCAGCAGCTGTGGAGACGCCCCCCCCAAAAAATAAATAAAATCTGGTGAAATCTGAAGCGCCTCGAGGCCCAGGTTTCAAAAATCTGGGCTTTGGGGATCTTAAGCGGTGCCGAGGACCCAGAGCTGAACCGATTCCAAATTCTGGATGCTCCTGTTCGCTTCTGGGGAGGACGGAGAACCAGAAAAGGTTGAGCAGGGCCCTCGCCAAAATATTCTTGGACGGCGGCTGCATGTGATCTCGGAGTCATGTGTTGCCTGCCTCGGACTCACAGGACACCTGCATTTCTGT